ATATGTTTTATAAGAAAATACAGTTCTACTTCAACATTTCACATTTAATTCAACGTGTTACTTTCCATTTCTTTGTAATTGTTTGTGGAATTTACTAGCAATTACTGAGTAAAAATAGTTTGGTTATGCTTTATTTTAAGGAGTCCTTGTTACAGTGTAACTATACATATAAACATTGTGTAATATTAATGAACTGCTTGTACTTACTATGTGGTTAGGGTTTGGATTAGGGTTACTTGCATGTAATTATGCATAATTAATTGTTATTATAATAGTAAGTACATGTAACAAGGACACCTTAAAATAAAGTGTTACCAAATTGTTTTAGTGTAAATCCTATTTTTCTTCAGTGTACTTGCTGTTATAATCTCCGCTTATTTTCAGAGTAATGTCTGTGAAATAAATGTATGTAATATCTGATGTGTGTCACCACCTCATAACTAGCACCATAATCAGTTTCATTTTTGACTCCCAGTATTTAAACACAGTATGTAGTCCTATTGCCTGCTTTGCTAGTGTTTTCCTTGTGTTGCCCCGGCAGTTTCTGAGTATTCTCTGTTTGATGTTTCCCTAGTGTTTCTGGTTTTGACCTCATTTATTTACCCTGGTTTCTGAGTTCTGGTTTTGGACTCGTCTACTGATGTACATAAACTGCATCTATCTGGATCCTTGCCTGCACCCTCAACTTTTGCATCTTAAATCTGTGTTAGCCCTGTTACAAATAATCTGTTTTTGAATATGTGTGGAACAACAAAGGCTTTACACATTTTCTACTAAATTTGTGTCATCTGTACAACCTTTCACAGTAGTCACAGCCTCAGTTGGTACACCTGCAGATCACCCACAGTCTACAGTTTACAAACCATCTAATGCAAACTGCACACAAAAACGCTATTAACAGTCTGAATTTGGTGAATGGGTTTATGATTATGAATTATGATTATCCTCTGCAGTGAATGGGTGCCGTCAGAATGAGAGTCCAAAAAGCTGATAAAAACATCACAATAATCCACAAGTAATCCTCCAGTCCATCAGTTAATGTCTTGTGAAGCCAAAAGCTGCATGTTTGTAAGAAACAAATCCGTCATTAAGCTTCTGGCTAAAGTCCATAATCCATAATAATGCTTCCTCCAGTGAAAAAGTCCATCCCTTGTTGTCCTCATGCAATCAAATCCACCCACATATTTGTTTAGAGCTGTTCTGGCCTGTTTTTGGCTTGTAAATGGTGCTTGATCTGTGGAATCTCCTGATTCAGACCAGACCACTTTTTAATTGGAGAAAGCAGTATTATGGATATAGGAGTTGTATTTCAGCAACAGAAGCAATGGTTTAAAGGGCACCTATTATGCAAAATCCACTTTTACATGGTGCTTGGACATAAATATGTGTTGGCAGTGTGTGAACACAACCACCCTACAATGATAAAAAGCCACCCTCTCCTTATTTTCTAATCCCCATTAAACCAAATCAGTCTCATCAGACGTGCCGTTTTGATTCTCTGAGCAATGTGACGTCAGAGGCGTAGCAATGGGGCAGGCAAGGCAGGCAAATGCCTGGGGCCCCGCATTTTAAGGGGGCCCCCGATGGCCGACCATTTAAACCAACAAGAATGTTAATATTAATAGCTATAACACGCAGCGACATCTCTCCATCCTAGAGCCCTGCACGGGCCTCAAATATAGGCCCTAGCCCAGCCCGTGTCCGACAGCTTATCAGAATTACCGGCCCGAGCCCGACCTTTTTTTCCCCCTTCTCCAAAACAGCTTATACTACTGTTCAAGCTATTAAAATAGTTCAGTTTTGTATGTAATGGCAAAGTGATTATATTTCGTTTAGTTTTTTATTAAGTTAATTTAGAAAAACGTTTGTTCGTTAAATATATGTTTTTGTTTTTTAAAGTAACGACCAAGCGGCTAGCGGCAGACAGGGAGCCTATGTTTGATCAATTTAGCCTTCTCAAATCAACACGACTTGTCTAAAATAAAATCTATATATAAAACAGTTCAAGCATATAACAATGTTTTAACGTTAAACCTAGATAAATGTGGCTATATCCAATAGTTTGTGCGGGAGTGGAAGCTAAAGCGCGCTCTGCAGGACATGGAGGTGCCAGCGCAATCACTTGCATTTTTTTCAGTGGATACGCCGTCATTTTTGCTCATAAAGGTAAGAGTAATACATAATTCGTAGCTGTAAAGGGCCTACTTTTATTTGCGTGCACTCACAATATCAACAAAACATTGTGCTTTTATAAAATAAAGAAAACAAACATGATGCGCTTTCTGCCGTCTCGGTCTTCAACAGGACCACTTCACAAAAATGAACCGAAACTCAGCGAATACATGCCTCACAGACATGATAAATATATCTATAGAAAGCTTTAAATGACTACTTAAGGAAATAAAACAAATCAAAAACAAAAACTTTCATTATGATCATAATCCGTAAAGATGCACTTCTCTCTTAAGGCTTGTCTAATGAGAAGATGGCGAGTCAGGATCGGCAACTTCACCCTTGCAACACAGACTCAGAAAACACTATTTATTAGTAAATAATTCAAATATCTCCTTCCTCTTTCCCCTTGACACATTACGGTAATTACTTTTGCCCATGCTTTGTGGCGAGCTTAAGCCTATTTATGCATTTGAACGCAGAACTGTTCAGCTGCGCTGACGGCATGCACCATACATGCTGCTGCTGCGGGACACTAAACACCGCTGAGCCGCTCTTGATAGTCGCGGTAGCACGGTCTCATGTTGTTTCCACCAGCACGGCAATTTTTCATCACTAATTGATGGATGTCTAAAATATAAAAATAAGGAGAAGCCTAAAACAGGCCCGAGGCCCGGCCCGCGTCTGAACTATGACGTGAAAATTGGCCCGAAGGGGCTCCGTCGCTCCGGCCGGACAGGGCATCATCACAGTATGGTAGGGACGTAACATTTCCGTCACACGCTTGAGGTATTCGGCCAATCACAACGCACTGGATAGCTGGCCAATCAGAGCACACCTTGCATTTCAGACCGATGAGCTTTGTACAAATCGACGCGTTTCAGAAAGGCGGGGCATACAGGAGAAAAAGTAATGTAAAGTATGTGGAAAATAATGTTTTTTTAACCTTAAACCGCATAAACACATTTAATTACACCAAATACACAAAATAATGTTCTTTTTAGCAGCATCATATGACCCCTTTAAACATAAAGAAGAGGACAAATCAGGCAGCCTGAAGCGAAAAAAAGAGGAGGAAAAGAGGAAACAGGACAACGGTAAGCACCAATTTATGTTTCTGCCCACACTCTATTCCACTCCAAATCAAACATAAATTAATTTCAGGAGAGAAGACAATTTTATAGATTTGAGTGCACAGGTTTGAGCATGCACATCCGAGTGAGAGAGAGCGCGCGTCCTTTTTTGTGCATTATATACTGTTAGATGTGTATAATTATATCACTAGGTAACAAAGATACATTAACAAAAAATTTATATATATATAGAAGGGCCTCACTGATTAATTTTGCTTGGGCCCCCACTTCATGTAGGTACGCCTCTGTGTGACGTCACATTGTTTAGGCCCCGCCCACGGCCGCTGACTGACAGTCCTGCATTACCAAAGTTTCCGCCCTCATCGAGTTGGGTTTGGTTGTATGCTGTCCTCCATTTTCGCCGCGCTCGAGCAGCAATGTCTCGTAAGCCCGGTGTTCTGTGTTTGGATGTAAGACTGAACATAAGAGTCTTCATTTTCTCCCAACATCTGAGCCACTGAGGACGCAGTGGATTACTTTTATCTTTGAAGGTAATGTGCCTCTAAATCATGTTATTATAGTGCTTAGCTAACGTTTTAACCGTGTGCGTGTCATTTCGTTAAATCTTGTAAATAGGGGCATAATAGCTGTCCTTTAAAATTAAAAACGTCTTATTTTTTTAACTGATGGACTGGAGTGGTGTGGATTACTTGTGGATTATTGTGATGTTTTTATCAGCTGTTTGGACTCTCATTCTGACGGCACCCATTCACTGCAGAGCATCCACTGGTGAGCAAGTGATGTAATTCAAAAAAGAAATACAGTTCTCCAAATCTGATGAAGAAACAAACTCATCTCTATCATGGATGACCTGAGGGTGAGTACATTTTCAGCAAGTTTTCATTTTTGGTTGAACTATTCCTTCGAGACAAAAGCTGCTATGTTCACAATGCTTGGTAATATCTGTTATTCTCTGTTTTTTCCACGCAGTAAATCAGTATCAGTGGAGGACATCTGTGCTAGCCTGTGGCGCACCGTAAGCTTTGCTCATAGATCACAGTGCCCCAGGAATGCTGACCAAATAAGAATTTGCATATGACCTGCTTCTCCTCAATTTACTTTATACTTCATGCACAACGTGAGCAGATTAACACGTTATATAAAAATTCTCAGGGGCCTGTTCAGAGAAAAACTATTACTAACAATGATTAGATAACAGGAATGCTTTTCTGAGAATCCTTCAAATGACATTTCAGTGCTATTATAATCAATACACTCCCATCAGCATGTTAACAGCATCTCAAATACATTCATGCATCAGACAGTGATGGGCTGTACAATCTCTGCAATGAAAACTGCAATATGCATCGTCAGTTGCAATAGAATTACAGTGCAATGGGATATACAGATCTTATTTGGCATGCACGACTTTGTGTGTTCTTGGAACAGGAATGCATGATTTTTCTAGCTGTTTCAACCTGTACTTTATTTGCACAAGACCACCTCTATAACAGGTGCAATCTTGCATGCAATTAAATAAGAGGTCACCTGCACCTGGACACATGCAGTGAAACGCTGCAAGGGACATCAGGACCACTGCAGTTGCCTCATTCAGATCTCAATGCACTGACTCAAGCTACTCTCTTATAGACCAAAGATACACAAGGTTTATACCATGTTGCAATTGATCTGCCAGGTCTGTATCATGTTCTGATTCACGTTTCTAATGATATAAAAAGGAAGGTTACCTCTCACCAGTGAGCAGCATCAAGTGTCTATCAGTTCCTCAGCTGTAGATTGAAAGATGAAACCGTCACTGTGCCAATGTTGTGATACGGAGGAGTCAGTGCGATGTAAATGCGTCAGTGCATCATTCTCAGATGCACGCGCTGCTGCAGCAACTTTGACATTGAGCGCCTTGACGCGTTGGGCGCTTGTACTGGTGTCCTGCTCGCGCGGAGCGTTCTGGTCTCTGTCTCCGCGTCTCCCCCGCGCGCGCGCAGTCTCCCTCCCTCCCTCCCTCTCTCTCTCTCTCTCTCTCTCTCTCTCTCTCTGTCTCAGCACGCGCCCACTGAATAATGAATGACTAGAGCAGCACTGGAGTTGCATGGACGTTTCTGTCTCGTTCTAGTGCAATCAGGAACTGATCACAATGAGTCGAGCGCTTTGCTCGGGTTACAGCTCGCCTATTTAATCTGGCCCCCATCCTGCCTTTGTTTCCACTCATGCAAACAAAAACGCAGGGGGTCAACAGTGAAATATTGAAAGCCAAGGGCATTTTTTTGCACATTCTCTAGAACAATTAAGTTGTGCTACAATGTCCCGCTGTGGACTCATTAGAGGAAAAGCTAAAAGACTTCAAGGCATCTGAAGAATGTCTTCATCACACATGTCTGGATAATCAAAACATACCAGATCCTCTCTGCCATATATCAAAGACACCTGGCTTTAAAAATTCAGTAACACATTATAATGGCTTTAATTTATAGGTTATTAGCAAAAGACGTAAGGGCAAATCTCACAAATCATGTCAAGAACATGTTCAGGTCAATTTTGATCGATCAATATGCAAAAAAATCGATCGATCGACCAGCCAGCCAATCAATCAATCAATCAATCAATCAATCAATCAATCAATCAATCAATCAATCAATCAATCAATCAATCAATCAAGTACACCTACCAGCTGGAATCATGCCAAGATATCAACAGAAAACTGTACTTCACAGTAATGTTGTCATCCCAGTAATAACTTGTTGAGTGACTTATTTCAATGAAAATCCAATGGAAGTTTGCCTGTGACTTTGCTGATATTGTACTAAGTATGACATAAACATTAAAAGGGGTCATATGATACGATTAAAATTTTTCCTTTCTCTTTGGAGTGTTACAAGCTCTTGGTGCATAAAGAAGATCTGTAAAGTTGCAAAGACTAAAGTCTCAAATCCAAAGAGATATTCTTTATAAAAGTTGAGTTATACGCAAAGAAAGAAGGCGTAGCTTTTATTCTCGCTGTAGTATTGTTGCCGCCGCTGCAGCCATGTCATGAAGACGCTGTGTTTCGTTGTGAAAGCAGAACTACTTTGTTTGGTCTTTCAAAAGAGGACGATATCCGCTTCGTCATGCCTAAAATAATGTGTTTTTTGAAACTTAAACCGCATAAACACATTTCATTACACCAAATACACCAAATTATGTGCTTTTTAGCAGCATCATATGACCCCTTTAAATAAAATCTAATCGCTGTGTCGTGGCACTGCATCTGCCAGGTTGTTTATGGCAAATGTGTAATTATGGTTATTTGTGTGTAATAGAAGTAATTTGAGGTTATTATTTGGATCAGATAAAGTATTTAGAGAGGAGGATGTAAGGTCAGCAGTGCTGTGTTTATAATAGCAGCCCACACACAGGCTTAGGTTCAAAGGTCAAGATAGTGTGGCGGGTTTGAAATGCTAAACATGCCGTCTCACTGTTTGCCTACCACACGCACACACACGCACGCACGCACACACACACGCACGCACGCACACACACGCACACACATACACGCACACACACACATGCACACACACCATGTTTGCTATTTACATATTAAATACCTGCCATTATCGGTCATGAATCTGTACTTGATTCCTAAAGGGATAGTTTATCCAAAAATGAAAATTCAGTCATCATTTACTTACCCATGTGACTAATCTTAATTTTAAGGAGTCTTAAGGATCTCCGGAACACAAATTTAAATATTTGTAATGAAACCTGAAGGTCCAGATAACCAAAACTTAGAAGAACAAAATAGGTCATAAAGGCATCCTAAAGCAAATCCATATTAATCAAGTGGTTTTATTCAAGTCTTATGAAGAAAAACAGTCGCTTTATTTGATGATTAGATTTAATTTAGGCTTGTTTAGATAGACTAAAGTCTTACGACATGAGGGTGAATAAATGTTGACAGAATTTCCATTTTTTTGGTGAACTATCCCTTTAATGCTGTACAATCAAAACAGACTCTCTAATAGAAGAGCTTTAATAAATAGCCCTGAATGGTGTTTGCTAGATCTAGTCAGCACGTTCTCAATGTGTGTTCTAGTACATTCTCTCAAAGCCTGTTTGTAATCAGGACAGAGGGTTTAGTACAGGCAGATCGGTCCATAACACTGTTGATATTATTCACTGCAGTTGGTAAGTTTAATAGTGTTTCCTGTTTATTACATGCAATTCTGCTTTATATGTTTATTGCATTGAATAAAAGTGGTTTTAAGTAAAAAAAATTAATACAATTAAATAAGTAAATAATAACAAAATAATAATATGATTATAAAAATGTAATTTAAAATAGCTCTTTAAGGTAACAGTTGCAGTTTACCACTTCTTTTTTACAGTGCACTCATTGAAGGATGAGCAGGATATGTGCATCATATATTTTAAAATAATATGAACATGATAAACATATTTTGCCCCGTTTCCTTTCCTTGTCTTTATCTGCTGTATAAGTCCCAGGTTTGTCTTGAGCAGTAAAGCTGCTCTCTGTTTTTGACGAGAGTCCTGCAGGTCCTGTAAACTCTTGGACTTGCTTGCATGCTCTGCACAGTTATTTCCCACAGTGGCTCCATTTCAAGATCCAGCTTTGCCACTTGCAAGGCGTTTGTAAACTATATTTTCAAAGGTCATATCTCATATTTGTCATGTCTTTATACCTCTGTGTTTCATAGTATAAGTCTGCTTCGAGACAACTGCTTCCATTCTGTTTTTTTTCTTTTTTTAAGAATCTTGTAAATAAGCTATTTGTCAGCGCAATGGTTTATATAAATGTGGAGCGGATGATAAGAACCCAATGCAGCTGTGCTGTTTTTATTCGTGGACTAATAACACATTAAGTCATTATTAGGCTTTGCACTAATGCAATATAATGAAGAGCATATAGAGATTCACAATAGGCGTGATCTGTGTTTTCTGTCATTTTCATGGTGCTAAAGAGAATGATTGGAAGTGTAGTTTGGGTGCACAACCCTGGCACGGTACAAATAAAATGCACAAACTGAACTGTACCGAGAGCATTCACAATTGCAACTTATGATTGACTAATATCGGTTTGTATACAGTGTGATTATTTAACTGACATGCCCCCAACTCAGACCATACCCCCAAGACTTAAAGAAAGAAAATGTGCCCATTTGCAGTTAAACGGTAACAAATGCCAACTGCCAATTGTTACCTTAAAGAGCAAGATCTACTTTATATAACTCATAAAATGTAGTTTTGTATTTAGGCTGATTCAATGATATTAAATCCTTTTATTGTATTATTTTATTTTATTTTAATTCATTAATTATTATTTTATTTTATACTATACTTAAATAAAACCAGTTAATTTAGATGTTACAATATTTAGGTTAATTTCGATGTTACCATTTTTTTTCAGTATGATTTTCATGTGCACTCATCTCATAAATGTAATCAATCCAGAAAAGATTTTAAGGCAGCTAAAGGCTTCTGTTTAGGGACTATATACATATAAACAAACAAGCCATTTAATTAATTAATTAATTAATTAATTAAGTAATTAATACCATCCTGCAATTTTGAGATTATCAACAGTAACCATGTTGTAAATTGTTTCCCCCACTTATGTCAGCTCCCTCCACAATAATCAGTGGGTAATTATCCATTTTAAAGTACATTTTGAGTTAAAATGTGGTAAAAGTGTTTACTTTTTATGATTCCCCCCCCTCATTTGCAGTCATTAAATAGTCTTTTATATTGACAAAGCATTAACTGCTCTTTAGATACAATGCAATATGCATTTTGGTGGTTATTAGAGTATCAAGTCATTAGTTTAGCTAAATGCTAATGTCAGAATCTAGTCAGGTTTCCAGTAAAACATGTAAACATCCTTGAAACAAGAATATTTTACCTGATGAGCAAGACTGTATAAGACATTACAGCTTGTTTTAGAGAATATAAGCCTATTTAATATCTGTATTTAATTACATACATTGTTGTGCAAAAGGTTGGGGTCAGTATGATTTCATTTCATTTTTTAATGAAATTAATACATTTATTAAGCAAGGATGTGTTAAATTGATTAAAAATTCTATTTCAAACAAATGCTGTTCTTTATACTTTCTATTCATCATAAGAATCCTGAAAAAAAGTTTCACGTTTCCACAAAAATATGAAGCAGCACAACTGTTTTCAACACTGATAATAATCAGAAATGTTTCTTGAGCAGCAAATCAGAATGGTTTCTGAAGATCATGTGACACTGAAGACTGAAGTAAAGATGCTGAAAATTCAGCTTTACATCACTGAAATAAATTACGTTTTAGAATATATTCACATAGAAAACAGTTATTTGAAATTGTAATAATATTTCAGAATATTACTGTTTTTATTTTTGTAATATTGTGCCTTGGTGAGAAAAATACTTTAAACATAAAAAAAAAAATCTCAGCGGCCCCAAACTTTCGGATGTTAGTGTATACTGTAAACAGTTTTTTAGCAGGTAAATTTATCTTGTTTTAACAATGTCTAGATATTTTTACTGGAAACCAAGTCAAATATTCTCCTTTTGAATATGACACTACACTCAAAAAGAAAGGTGCTTCACGATGCCATAGAAGAACCTTTTCGTCTAAATGGTTCCATAAAGAACCTTCAACATCTGAAGAACCTTTCTGTTTCACAAAAGCTTCTTTGTGGTGAAAAAAGGTTCTTCAGATTATAAAAAGGTAAGAAAGAGATGGTTCTTTAAAGAACCTTTGACTGAATGGTTCTTTGTGGAACCAAAAATGGTTCTTCTATGGTATCGCTTGAAGAACCTTTTGAAGCACCTTTATTTTTAAGAGTGTACTTCAGCTCCGTGGTTTCTAAACCTACCAATATGACGACTCTCACAAACCTGTAGCATATTCAGATCTCCTCAGTGGATGTCAGCCTTTAACTGTGAGCGAGGGCACAGATTTGGTGAGGGTTAAACTTGCTGAACATGCAATCTGTGAAGCGGGGCAGACACATCAGCACATCTCATTCACGTCTGGAGAGAGGAGCTACTGGAGTTAGTGCTGCCCAGAAATGAGTGAGGGATGAGATTACAGAGAGGGAAAGTGCTAGTAATGTCCCAATGATGAGAAATGAGTTAGAGAAAGAACCATAGCACAGACACAGGAGGGTAGGCACGTTGGAAAAAATGCTGTTTATTGGACTAAGTATACCATACAAAGGAAAAAATAAATAACTGAAAGCCAATGTTGCAGCAGTGCTGCTGGCAGTCCGTACAGGAGAGAGTGTGTGAGAGAGAAAAATATGATATGATACAGGAAGAGAATGTTATAATCATTAAAAAAGGTAAGCTTTACACTTCAGGATTACAAAAATACAGCAGAATCTCAATGAAGAAGCACAACGGTAATTTCATGGCAGATCAGAGCTCATATGGGAGCCACACCACCACATTAAAGTCCAAAACTGAATTAGAGCTGTTTGGCAGTTTGAGGCTGAAATATCCTGATAGACAACACTGACACTAGCCGTACTCTGGTATTCCTACATTGTGTAAACAGATTCAAATATGAAATGCTCAACCTTAAAGACCCCATGAAAAAAAAAAAATCCATGTCTGTTAGCTGCAAGGCCATCTAGTGTAGTACTAAAGGTTAAAAAAACGAACATTTAACAGATACATGCATTTAAAATGTGCTGTGGAAAAATACTGATGAGTTGTCTTGTTCACATGAGCGTATCAAATTTTTGTCCAGTAAAATAATAATTAATGAGAGTATACCTCCGCCAAAATACCACCTGCGATAGCATGTAGCAAATTAATGAACATACTTGAGCTCTCTGTTAGCCATTCACATCAATGGTAGTTACTAGGTTGACGCATGTTCAGAAGCATGCGACCTGCAGGCTGCCATCTTTGCTCATTGGAATTCGGTTTCAAATATGAAATGCTCAACCTTAAAGACCCCATGAAAAAAAAAAAATCCATGTCTGTTAGCTGCAAGGCCATCTAGTGTAGTACTAAAGGTTAAAAAAACGAACATTTAACCGATACATGCATTTAAAATGTGCTGTGGAAAAATACTGATGAGTTGTCTTGTTCACATGAGCGTATCAAATTTTTGTCCAGTAAAATAATCATTAATGAGAGTATACCTCCGCCAAAATACCACCTGCGATAGCATGTAGCAAATTAATGAACATACTTGAGCTCTCTGTTAGCCATTCACATCAATGGTAGTTACTAGGTTGACGCATGTTCAGAAGCATGCGACCTGCAGGCTGCCATCTTTGCTCATTGGAATTCGGTTCTGACATGAATATTTATAAATGCTAAGTGACTAATAAATAATCTGCAGGAAATTCAACACAATCTCATTAGAATTCAATTCTATTTCACATTTTGGTGAATTGGTGGCAAATCGATCGGAACTATATGATTGCGTACTTGTACTCATATCTTATTTGTATGTTTTGGTACGATCTGTTTTCTCCTAATGCTCGTAGATTTTCGTATGAATCAAAATGTATACGAAAACGATACATTTCCTCATGAGATTGGGTTGATGGTGCAGTTACAGCATTTAATTGCCAAAACTAACCAGCCAGACCCGACTCTTTGGTTTTGGTGGGCTGTGATGTTAGCTAACTTCCTGCCCAACTTCCTGTTTCAGTAGGAAATATGTCAACTCATGAAAGGAGTCTGCACTCCTCAAACCATTTCATGGGGTCTTTAAGCCTGAAAAGGTGAATTTGTTTTGGCACTGATTACAGAATTATTTCAGGTACGACCTTCATACATGATATTACCTGTAGGTGATTTGTAGTTACAAGAGCACACTCTTATGAAGAAGAAACAAAAAGGTTCGCTATAGCGCGTCAAAGCAAAATGAATGCCATTGGCCATATTTAACTTTATTTATTTTGACTATTACTGTTTTAACTACATTTTTATTGTAAAAAAAATTGAAAGATTTTTTCTACATTTATCTTCAATTAAGATAGGGTAAAATGTACTTAAGTAAAATGTTTTTCTTTTTTAAACAATTTCATAATTCATATTTTTGTTCATTGTAAATATAAGGTAAACTGGCTTTTAATTTCCCCATCTGAGCATCATTTGTACAAAAAAAGGATGTATTATGGCACTAAAACAAGTTCTTCTGTAATGTGGCAAGACTTAGAAAAGTGAATACAGAAACAGCAAGGTAGCTGTTATTAGTGAAAAAATAATAATTTACTTAGAAATAACTAAGATATGTCCTTTGTGACCACATGGAGAAGTCTTTATTGGTATGGTATTTAAGTGTGAATATGCTAACAATGAGCATATATTAAAACACTTTCAGATTTCAACCACTATGGAAATAAATGTGGATTAAACACTCATTTTGAGTGTAATATATGTACATTATTTATCTACAGGCATATTATATATATATATATATATATATATATGCAGCTGTAATCTCTGTGACTTCATATTTGATTATAAATAATAAGCAGTAGTGAGCTATTCATGTACAATAGTATTGTTTCTTTGAACACAGATCTCATTCTTAATATTTTTCTCTCACAAAAATACTTGTTATTTAACATTTAAGTAAAGCCTAAGACGATGCATGCTTTGAATTTGAGTGTCAATTAATCATTTTAATTAAAGGTTGGTTTGCTGGTACAATATTTGTACAAATGGTAGAGAATTGTGCATTGCATTTTCAGAAAAATAGCTAATAGATCCAAATATATTTAGCACCTTGTTTACCTCCATAGTGCATGCAATCTAGAGTCACACCAGGGCTTTTCATTCTCTCAGAGCTGTATTTGCACACATGGCAGTACTGAGCTGAATCTGTTTGATATTGTTTTGTGGTCTTAGCAGCTCTTTGAAAGATTCAGCTGATCTGATAGCAGTCAAAAAGTCTTTTTGCAGCTTAGAACATGAAAAATGGTAAAAATCCTATTATATACGAGGATACAGAGGCACAGAAGGGCAAATGTCTTTCAATAAGATCAGTTTGCGTAATGAAGTAAGCATATTATCTCCATTTTTGTTGGGAAAAATAAATCTGGATCGGTAAACAAAAATATCTTGGACAACCAACGCGTATGGTAATTTGAAGGCTTCGTAAGGCTACTGCACAACATAATAATGGTCAAACATCCTTACGCTGCATGGATCTACTTTGTGATTCCATACTGTATGATACATCAAATGGGATAGACATTTATGGACAATATCTTTGTAAAATCTATGCTACACCATTGTATGACGTTCTTTGCAATTATCTAACCTTATATTGGACAAGTCTTATATTAACTTTTTGTACATTTACATATTATTTATGGGCTTTTTCATCTATATTCCATCTCAAAGGATAATTAAATAAAGGATAATAAAATGTTTTAAGGGGATACAAACCTTTTCACAGACACTCTTAAAAATTATGGTTCCAAAAGGGAATTTTTTTTGCGGTGATGCAATTGAAGAAAAATTTTGGATTCTTAAAAGAACTGTTTTTAATAATTCTAAGAACTTTTTTCACTATAAAGAACCTTTCATACAATGGAAAGTTTCCATGGATGTTGAAGGTTCTTCATGGAACCATAGGTACTTTTATTTTTAAGAGTGTATGTTTTTCTCTCGGTCAGCATCTTCTCCTAAAGATGTTCCCTCCATGCTGTTCGAGTTGTACAACCTTACACCAAAAGAACCAGACAATCTGTGTAAAATAGGTCAGAAAGAGTGAGGAGCGAACTTCTCTCACGTTACAGAGGTGGAGGTGCTGTTAGTAACAGGGTGAGATTGGTTTTTAAGGAAGGCAGAGCCTTGGTGAATGTGCTCCAGGAAAGAGAAGTTGCGGAAGAAAGGTCACATGACAGCACAGCACTGGCAGCGCTTTTTCTTTTCAATACCTGTGGGTGGCAGTTCCTTGGTCGAGCTTTCATCTTTGCCTTCTGAAGACAGTTCGGTGGTGTCGGACAGAGGCCGGCCCGACACGAGGTCTGCGGCGTTGCCGTCGATGGTGGAGATATCAGTGACGGTCTTCTCCCGGAGAGATTTCTCATCGTCTTCGTCGATGAGGACGATCTCGGCCTTGATGGTGCCATCAAAGCCAAGCAGCTTCTTGGATTCCTCCTCGTCCTCGATGCTGTGGTAGCCCATGAAGATCATGGTCACTGGTTTGTCGGCGGAGGCTTGTGGAGTCTGAGTGACCTCACCTTCGTAGCCTTTCCTAGGAGATTGTTTTTGATTTTGCTTGGCCTCATTGGAGCTCAAATGTCCTCCCATTGGCTGGGGCTCAGCCGGTGTGACAGTGACCCGGGCGTCGTCACTTCGTTGTTGGGTCTTGTCGACTTGCTGCATGAGTTTGTCCACCTCGCCGGGACTCCAGGGGTGTGTGCCGTTCTCCAGTGTAGTAGATCCCCCAGAACGCACCTCGTAGATCACTTTGCGACCGTCGTCGTAGACTTTGACGCCCCTCTGGTGAGCGTCCCGCGGGTTGACTGCTGAGGCCGAGAGGATCTTGGTGGTACCCGTTTTCCGGTCCTTTTCGACACTGATCTCCATGGCGTATAATGCTTGGGGAAGAGTGCAGATGATTGTGGGTTAATGTCTACTCAGTGTGGCCTATCATGCATAACTGAAATGTGGCATGCTTGTTATTAATGGGTTTTTCAGTGATGGCACTACGTGCATGCGATATTTGTACAGTCGCATAAATTGGCATTAAAATCAGAGGCAAAAAACAAATTCAACCTACCCTTTGCACTGTTATTACGCTGTTGCCAGTAACCGTTGTATGCTGATGTATGCTTAGTTGAAGACACACTCTTGCATTTTTCTTGATTTTATGGAAATGTACCGTTACTCTTATATTATGCTTGACAGATTACAATCTTTGGAGTTATTAATAAAAGCTTCAGTTGAAAAGAAAACTGCTTGGTAAAATACAAAAACACCCAGAGCTATTTCTGAGGCAGCTAATTTGATTAATCTAAACGAGTTCTAAAGTCATTTAGAACCAAGAGTTCTGGTTCTAAAGTGGAGGCTTGCAACCTAAAAATTGGTTGCAGGAAAAAAAAAAAAAGAATACTAAATGCAAATAACGAAAATGCAACTAACCATAAAATTAGTTAGGATAGCTAAAAAAATACTATTTTGAATAATAATGAGTGTGTAATTGTTTTGCATGTGCACTTGTAGTGTTCTTCAAATCTTAAAAGTATATAAAAAAAACTGTACTTGCAGATAATGTAATATTAATGAAATACTTAAATATAAGAGACACTTAAATATAACTTAATATGTTAAATGTACTAAACTGCAAGTTCATCTTTACAAATGTTTAATTACAAATATATTTAAATAAATGAGTTTCAATCGAAATTTAAATAATTTACATTAAATAATTTTTTGCTCATCAAATGTTTGCCAGTACATTCAGCAGTACACTTTCCATATTTCAAGAGATAATAGAAGTAATTATGAAATTGTATATAAAAATTAACTATAGTAAGTCCGACTAAGTGGATCAAACACAGCACACTAATGGTAAGCTAACTGCATTTAATATACATTTAAACTATAATACATTTTCTTTTAATTAACATGCAGTTAAGTGTTGAACACATTACATTCAGTTTGCACTTAAGTATATTCTTTTAAACTATATTATTTTCACAAGCACTCTTTTAAAAGCATGCTGAAATGTACACATTTGCTTATTTTGGTGCAAATGCATTTTTCACTTGCTATATACTATATTGGCCCAGTGATGGATGGTAAATTACATTTCTGCTGTTGTTAATGCATTTACAACATTGTACATTTTCCTGTTTAGCCATTGTCATGCTAATAACATTTGCCTATTGATGGGCCAGCACAGTTCAGATTAATATGAATAAAGTTTGATGCTTAATTTTAAGGACATTTTGTATGGTAACTATTTGTTGTATTTCCACAACTCGATTTCCAATTTAAAATCTAATTTGTGAGATTAAACCATTTGAGAACCACTGATCTAAACCTTTTATATATAAGAAATAAAGCACTTGAATAGATAAACAAGTATACCTGGTCACTAACAGATAAAAATATCGATTTTAAAGATTTTTGCTGATGTCTTGATTTTTAACAGCTGTTTGTATCGATCTGCAAAATTTTTCTATTAATGTCCATACAATTTCTAGAATAAGACATCAACTAGACATGCAATAAATGTTCACGGTGGTGGACTTTTTCACTCATCTCCATCACATCACAGGTCTACTGTAAGCTGAGCTCAACAAAAGCAGGTGCCACAGCTGTCCAAAATCCTCAGTGTTTATTCACTTTAAACCTTTGAGGTGTTGGTGACCAGTTACCCTACTGTGTATAGATTGCGAAATACACCATGTTGTCCATTCATTCTCACAAATGCGCTGCGGTGAGTAACTGCGCCATCTGTAATCTACATTACCGTACCCTCTTTTGGCCTCGGCCCAAACCTGTGACCACCCCAGCCCCTCCCACAAGCCCAACAAGCACCTACCAGATTTTCTTGGCGGTTGTTGATCCCCTGAAGCTGAGACGGGAGTTTGGGAGTTCAGTTCTGGGAGGTCTGGGATCTGGGAACAGTTGTAATTCACCGCATCTGTCCGGTGGAGAGCAGAAGAGAAGCGAAAACTAGATTCCTGTGTTCAAAAGCCCACCGAATTTACTCCCTCCCCTTCCAATCCCCCTGTACTAAACTGAGTTTCCCTCTCTCCCTCGCCTTTTTTTTCCGTCAGGCAGCTAATTTGCTTAGACAGCAAAAGCAACGCGAGTGAATTAGAGCTAAACAATGGTCGGCTCTGGGTTACAGGGATTCCCTGTGAATAGGTGGATCAGGGTAAACAAAGTACAGAGCCATTGGCGTATGTGTGGAGTTCAATAGTCTAGCTGAGGCAACAGGGAAATGGTCCAAGAGGCTAATGTAATACTCCTCTGTTTTAGTGACTGTCTACCATTGCGGTTGTACCTTGGAAGTAACATCCAGTGGTTTGTAGAAATGACCATGAACTTGGTCTGAAAGGTCTATGTCAGGGCTGTCCAAACTCGGTCCTGGAGGGCCGGTGTCCTGCAGAGTTTAGCTCCAACTTGCCTCAACACACCAGACTGGAAGTTTCTATGCCTAGTAAGAGCTTGATTAGCTGGTTCAGGTGTGTTTAATTAGGGTTGGAGCTAAACTCTACAGGCCCTCCAGGACCGAGTTTGGACAGCCCTGGTCTATGTTGTATTCAGACTGATTTTGGTACAGGACAAACAAAAAAAAAAGTCTCGTAGAATAATGACTTCCATACCCCCATCTTGATTCTGAAGACTCTGTAGACAGAAAAAAAACAAGCAACATGATTAGAAAAGATCAGGTTGTTGTAAATTCTTTTGATTTGTTACATTTTCATGTAACAAATACATTGCTGCATTAGAGTTATATTATTAAGACATTTAAAGCTGAAGTGTGTAATTTCTGCACAACAATTTTTTACCAAAGCACTGTTTTCAGACAGGTTTCCAGAATGACTCCCAATCTGCTATTGAATGAAAAAAAATTACACACTTCACATTTAAGTCACAGTTAAAAATGTCTGCATGCCATAATGTTCAAACTATCAAAATATCAAACTCTAGAAGTGGCTACTGTGAACAAATGAGAAGTAATTTGGACTTTTTGGTAATAACTGGTGTTTTTCCGTGGATGTATGAAGATGCATTAAAGATTGTATTTACAAAGTCATAATTGCGTGTGGGAAACTCGAGTCTTGGTGGATGCAAGTAGTGTATCTGTAACGCTGAGTCAGAGGCGTGCGGATCCATTTGCAGCTTTTATTAGAATAACAGGCAGAGTAAAACAGGCAGTATTCAGTCAACAGCGTCACGTACAGCAGGGGTAATCCAAGGGAATAAACAGTGGCAAAGCGAGGGTCGGGGCAGGCGGCAGAGAATCAAAACTAGTTAGAACAGTCCGAGGTAATACACAAGAGATAACAAGAAAGGGGATAAACGCTCAGAAATGTAGCCGGGGCAATACAAGACTTCGCAACCATAGAGTGTCTGAGAGCTGTTTAAATAGGGAAGCTAAGGGGGAACACCTGTGCCGTAATCAGCCCCAGGTACGGGGTGTCTGGGAAATGTAGTCCATGAACGTTAGTACTCGGGAGAGGGTGCCCTCCGGAGGCCATCGGAGAGAGCCACAGAGGCCTGATTCGTGACAGAATGTAGTTGATGGTACATGTTTTAAAAATGTATGTTTTATTTCATTTACAATAAAACTAGATAGGTTGCATGTACAAAATAAACATAAGAAGGACACTTGACATTCTTAGTTTAAAACCTTTATGTATTTTTATTAAGTAAATAAAGAGAAGGTACATCAGCGTCTTGATTGAACGAAGGGATTTGAATAAACCTGGCATTTCCAACTCATAAATATGAAACGCCTCAGGAAGACTTGAACACACCATTACTAACAGTTGTATTTCATCAGTTAAAACATGTACTTGCCCTGTCTTCTATTATAATAAATGCCACATGCTTTGATATTTTGTCTAATGCAATGATATTCAGACATTTGAACTGTGGCTGTCCATACACAGTCTGAGGCCACTGTATCGTGTGTTCTTCTGTTATGAGGATCACATACCTTCTGTAGATCTTCAATGGATCTCTCTGTTTCCCGCAGTCGCTCTCTGAGAACTTGCTCTTTAGCTGAGATCTGTGATTCTTCATTCTCCAAAAGACAGATTTCTGATTCCAATCTACAAAAACACAATTTATTGATTTATTTGGATACAGTACATACAATTAATGAATTTATAAAATGCTAAATAAATTCCTCAGAAATGCAGAGACTGTTTCACATGGAGAAGTGCACCTAGAGATCAAGAGATACCAAGTACACTACCATTCAAAAGTCTGGGGTTTGTAAGATTTTTAAAATGATTTTTATAATGCAATATAAAAAAGTAATAATATTCGGAAATATTATTACAATTTGTTTTCTACATGAATATTTTTTTTTAAATCTCACATGATCTTCAGAAATCATTCTAATATGCTGATTTGCTGCTCAAGAAACATTTCTTATTATAATCAATGTTGAAAACAGTTGGAAAATGAAAATATCAGCAGTTTTATTTGAAATACTTTTTCTTTGTAAATGTATTTACTGTACAATTTAAAACATTTATGCTGAACAAAACATAGTATTTAAATCTTACTGACCCCAAACATTTGAACAGTAATGTATTTAAACATAACAGATATTTTGTTCTGTCCCAAACACAAAGCTATTATATGGCTTCAGAATACTTCTAATATAGTGCAGCACTACTTTTAGGATATTTTCTATGCAAAAAACATTCTGCTAAAAATATAATTTTGCATTCCATGGAAGAAACAAAATCAGGCACGTCAATGCTCTTTACTCCTTGATGAAAAATGAGAACCATAAAACCAAATCTCCTGTTTACTGTATCACAGCTTTTGAAGTTTTTTTTACAGATGTGCTGCCCATTGAATGAAATCACTGCATGGAATGCAGTCATGTGCACACATTCTGGAAATGAATGAGACATATCCCTTCAGTGTCAATTAACCCATGCATATTCCACTTTTCCCAACGGACTCCTTTCTCACTCATTCTGAATGCTGGCAGCCAATGAGGAAGCTGCCGGCGAAGGAACCTCGCTGCCTCCGCCCATCAGAATTTCCTGCTATTGTTTGGATCACTGAGG